CATCCAAGGAATACAAATCTTATATGTTTCCAATCTTCTTACTAGAAAGCGTTTGAGAAGAACAAAAATGTTTTGAATTTCTAATTATCAAAACCAAAACTACAGGTGTTGGCGTTCATATCAATACAATGAAGACGACTTTTTATTACTAATGTTTTGATCCCAAAAAAGTATTTTTCAAATAACAAGTTTACAAGTAAACAAAGAGAAGCAGCTATTTAACAACTTCTCTTTATTGATATGTTTATGTGTCTGTGCGATTGGTAGAAATTGAAATATAAAGTTGTATGCATTCTATTGATATATACGACGACTACGAAGTCACAAAGTCCTTTAGTAATGTCTCATAATTTTACCTTTTGCCTCAAGTTATTATGCGGTGCATCAAACTTTAAAGGGAGAGTTTGTGGAAAATGAATCATGATTCAAGTGCAGTAAGCCGATCGACAATACATCCCATTCTAAGGAAAGTTTTCAAACTACAGGTTTGCCCACAAACGATGGAACTTTAGAGACGACTGCACGGAATTAGTTTTGTCTGTTCCTTCATATTATGATGCCCTGCAACTATAAACTTTTTCTGTCTTTGCAAATTATTTAATAAGCCACTACATGACTATATTCAATATTCTTAACCCTATCCCTGCTGGGGTACTTGAAAACCAGGATATGCTGGGGGGGGGGGGGTTAATTTGACCCCCCCTCTAAATCCCATGTTTTATGTCTAAATGTGACAAATGATACATCATTAGAAAGCTCTTGTGCTCTACTTTTTGAATCTGCAAAAAAAATTTGCAAATTTGCAAAAATTGAATTTTTATCGCAAAATCCAGTTATATAGTAAAAATGTTTGCAAAAAAAAATTTGTCCAAAAAATAAAAAATTATACATTTTTGAAAAGCCCTTGGCCATGCCATTTCAAATATGCAAAAATTTTTGCAAAATTTTAAATAACCTGATTTTTAATCAAGAAAAACTAAAAATGTGCAAATTTCCTTAGACCGGTTGTTTGCAAAAAATTTGCAATTTTTTCGCAAAACTTGTGCAATCCGTTTCCTTATGTCATAGGCTTTTCAAAAAGCTAAATTTTATCAAAATCTGACAAGTGAAAGTGGGTCAAAACAAAGATTTAGTTTGTTACAGGAAAAAGCAGTCATTCAGGCAGTGTGCCTGAGGACTAAGGCAGTTAGTATTAAAGCCTGGTTTTAGGCCTAAAGGGAGGGCTTTGGGTATGTAAGAAAAGTCCGAAAATTTCAACAGCCTCAGACCAATACTTTTTGAGTTATGTAAAAAAAACTAGGGGGGGGGCAAATTGACCCCCCCCCCAGCAGGAATAGGGTTAACAGCCTCATCCTTTGTGGGGCACCCTGTATATTTTATTAAAACCTCAAATACATATAATCTTAAACTATATTATGAGTGTATTTAATGAGCAAACTTTATATTTCAATAAATTCCGTATTTATTGAAAAATCGAGGTTCAATATAAATTTTTCTGTACAGCAGACCTAATTAATGCAGTGCATGGGGATGGTGAAAATACAATAGCTGAACAAAATAAATAACATTATCAAGTTCTTTGCAGATAAATCCATTAGAAATGATGCTGAAAAAATGACAATTAATTTTTTTTAAACTATGGGTTAAGGAACAGTTTTACACTGTTGTTTTAACTATGGACCATGAGACATGGTGTCCAATATAAAATTTTGAATTATATAAATATTCAGTATTACTTACATGAAGGATTCATATCTCTAATTGTATAATGAGATAGATAGAAAGATAGATGTTACCGCCATACTATTTCTATTGGTTCAGAATAGACAACAAACACATGACTGAACCCTGATTGGATCAGGCGCTAATGGACTCGGCATACATAAGTGCTATCTAATCTTTATATGTAAATTAGGAGAGTTATAGCATCAAATATATATTAAATTTGATGCTTTATGTTGACTCTCGGCTGTCTATTTCGTTTAATATAGATTTTTAAATCTAAAATTTTCGATTTAATAAAAAAAAATAAAAAATAAACATATTCTATTTAATTGATAGATATAAATGAAAACATTTTATATCTTTAGTAATCTTTAGCGATCGGAGTAGATAAATGATCATGGCTTATGAAATAATACAATATAAAAAAAGGTTTCTCAAAGTCTGAAATCTTCAGTTCATCAATAACTTCAATATTCAATAATATCTTATCATGTAGAGCTGAGATATCTTACATTTTTGTGCGTTCCCCGTAACACGTCCTCAAAATGCGTCCTCCTCTCTTCATTGTTTGTGCGTCCTAGTATTTCTTAACCCTATCACGATGGTGGTGGGAAGGGGGGGGGGAATAATTTTATTTTAATGAGCAGGCCTTGAAAAGTTAGACTAGGGTCATGTATCACACTCTCCTATCTCAACTCTTAAAGGCAAAATCATAGGGGGTGGGGAACCCCCCCCCCTCCAACCAATCCAGATTAGACAAAAATTAGCCCAATCGGGATAGGGTTAAGAGTGTCTGCAAAATTGCATCCTCATTAGAGCATCATATTTTGCAACAGAAGAATATTACCAATTTCAGGGATTACAGATCGGAATTTTTAGTAATAGTAAAACTCTCCTCCTCCTCTCTCCTCCCCTCCTCCTCCCCAGTGTCCACTTTTCTCCGAAACATATTCTAGTTTTATTGATAGATATAAATGAACACATTTTATATTTTTAGAGATCGGAGTTGAATCATTAGTTTGCAAGTTGTGTTAACCTTTGCAGTACGATGCAGTACGTTTATTTGGTGTTAGAGGTTGCGCTATTTTTATAGTTTGATTTATATTTGGACACAATACGTGTACAATACAAGAACCCCTTGTTCTACTGCATAAATGTCCCTAGAAAAAAAAACACATTTTTTTTGTGGAATTATCCCAATTTGGTATAAGTCATTGGTACAATTTTTTTGGTATAAATCGGCAGTTTCTGGCACCATTATTGGTATAATGCCACAAGTTCTAAAACTCCATCCCCCTCGGTATCCGTCCCTAGTGCCCACTCTTCTCCTCCGGCCCCCCTCTGCCGCTAAAACTCCCTCCTCCGTAGCTCTATATTTCCTATTGCACTCCGTTGGCGGTAAAACTACCGGAGCTGTTGAAAAGCCCTGCCGACCCCTGTAGGGTTGTTCAAAATTTAAATATTTCAAAATATACAAAGTTATCAATTAAAAAGGAATTTGTAACAACAAGATTTTCAAACTTTACTAAAACCATGTAAATTCATGCATTTTAAAACTTTTTTCAATTTTGTTTTAAATTGATTTTTTATAACTTATTTCCGATGGTTTATAACTAAAAAAACGTATTTACAGGGTTACCCAAATAGATTAGACTTTAATGTCGACTGTGCAATGTTTATTTACACATTTATGTGCATTTATGGTTCCGACCCGGTTAGCTGCGAAACTATTTTCATTCTATCCGAAGTCATTGATTATCGTATAAACCATCGTTAATTATCGTATATATTTAAGGCAAAAACAGAATTTAACCGTTAGATCGCCAGATACAACTAACATTAGTTTGGTAAACAAATTGTGAAAAAATAAAAACTTCTTATAAAAACCCTGATGATAAGAAAAAAAATGTTTTCTATCAAACAGCCATTAAGTTATAACACTAAAATAATTATTTTATTAAATTCTTTGATTTCAGGCAAAACACACCTATTGTCCGGCCTGTATTGTCAATTTTTAAAACATATAAAAAATAGTTCCAGGAAAGGTATCAAGGTGTCTGAACCAATTTTCGTTAATTTGAAAATTAAAGGTATCCCTTAATTGGTAAAAACAAATCATCTTTCTTATCCAAGAAATTGATGCAAGAGCTTCAATTTCAATCTGAATTTCATTTTTTGACATAAAATTTTATAATTTTCCGATCTTATATTCATTATGTTTGTTTTACTTTTTTCTACTCCAATCTTGAGGCATTTTCAAAACTTTGAGTGTAAATTTGCTTTGAATTTGATGTTAAACTTTTGTTCCTATTATTAAACTGGATTTTCATAAAATATAACAAAATGTCCGCTTAACAGGCTTAAATTAAAAGGGTTACCCACACAGGAGGGAGCCGTGACCATGGCTAGATGCGTTTGATTTCTTCAAATTTAATACAATCGTGTTGTGTCTATAATTAATGCAACCATCATGAGACTTTTAGAGTTGTATCATTTAATGCTTTCTCATTAAACTGAATCCATCTACAAAAAAGAATAGAAAAAATGCTAAAATTATTATTAATAATTATTGAGATCGAATTTAAAAGCTTCATGGGATTAGGACCGAAGCTTTAATTTCGTTCAAGTTTTTTATGGCAATAAACTGTTTTAAATTTTTTTAATATCAGGTTCTAGCAGAAAGAAAGAGATTAGGATCATTATTACCTAGAGAAGTGTTAGGACGTAACCATAGTGCGGAAACCCTTTCTGTATGTGCCAGAATAGAAAAGTCGTAAATTCAATATTTTCGTGGATTACAAACATACAACATATCCACAAACGTATTTTAGTGTTAATTGCAGAAAAAAGGCCTTTTCTCAAAATTTACTTTACTTAATTTGAATGACCCGAAAGCATCTGGAATAATTTAATTTGACTCCCTTCCAATGGCTTATATTCATATGTATACTATTAAAACCATCTAATCAAAAAAAATGTCGCCTCTCCAAAATTCCAGAACGATAAAATGAAACAAATCATTAAAATGCTAAAAAGCTTTCGAATTTTATGAAATTTTATTCCAGAGCAACCATTTTTAAAGTTTAACATTATTTGGGGCTCCTCATCAACCCCCTGTTTCTCTTCATTACACAAGTTATTTCTAATGGTTTCAAACGAAAAGGTGAGTTTTGAACGACCCTAGATCTAAAAATGACTACGGATGCTCCCAAAATCTAAGCAGTAAGCTCCAGACAGACTAATCGTTGAAAAGTCGGGACACAAAATAATTTAGGTTAAAAAAGTGCATTGAGAAAAATAATTAAAAGTTTCAGACGTTTTTTCATTAAGATTCTTTCCACAGTCTAGAGTGACTACCGAATAGGTAAGCACCAAGGAAAAGGATAAAAATAAAAAGTGAAACTTTAAAAACTTGATATAGGATTTTTAGATTAATATTTAGTAAAAAATATGTAAACTTGAAGATGTTAATGAATTTAATGACCTCTGTTCAATCATTAGGATCAGTTCACACATATCTTTATCTAACATATTCATTTTAAATAGACATACATGTATATTTATGTAAAAATGCAATTTATTCGTGAAATAACATGTTTTGTAACGTTTAGAAATATAGAAAGATGACAATGCCCGATTCACAATGGTACCCTTAAACAAGCCTTATCTGATCAAGTATTAATTAGATTTCAATGTTTATAATTTTGAAAACAGATTATTTTCAATTGATGTTTCTTCAAAAAAGTTACCACTGCAGGAATACGGAAAGGAACTATCGGAATTAAACACTTTTAACCCTAGAGAAACGAAAATATCCTTCAGAATATTGATCAGAGAAAGGTTTCAAGGGTACCGTTGTGAATCGTGCATTTCCATCTTTGCATGGAGGGTCATTACGCTTAATTACAATCTCTTTAAGTAAAAAAATAATTCTAAAATTAAGAAAATAATTACCGGGCCGACTTGAAGGTACTGTCGAATACACAACAGTACTCTCTAAATATCTAATATTATAATGTTTAATGTTTAATATCTAAGCAACAACGTGGAATATATATTTATTTTGAATCGAAATTTCTTTTCAATTCTAACAATTTCATTGTTAGTCTCTGCTGCACAAAACCTGCAAGTCGGCATAAAAGAAAAAAACAATAATGGGAAATTATCAGTTTTCAGTTGAAAATTTTAGTCAATCTTCATAATTGTTGCTCAAACTAAGGTTTTAATGGAACCGTTGTGAATCGAGATAAACAGTAGCGCAACTAGGGGGGGGGGCGAATCGAGTTTCCCCCCCCCCCCCTCAGCATATTTCGCCACATTCATTTGACTTTCAGCATGATCATGACTGTGGACCATCTTTTATCAAATTTTGTCAATTTAGAAAAAAATACCTTTTTTTTTCTTTGGCGCTTCGCGCATCATTTCTAATATAAATTCTATCTATTTTATCGTCAGTTATTCTAAATTTATCCTCTCAAAAAAACCCTGTATATATTTTACTTCTCATGAGTATTACAATACATATACCATTTAAGGTTTCACAAGACCTGACAACCTAAGAAGAATAACAATAAGAAATATAATAAGGATTATAACGGACTATTAGGTGTTTTGAGGAGTATAGAAGAAAAATAGGGATAAGCCCCTCACTGGCAAACAAGGACAGAAGGATTTCGATCAGAAAGACTATTGAGGATTATGGACAGACGAAATATAGTCAAGTACTGCCAGGAACTACTTACTACTTAGGACGGCTTAGACATACGATTAAGGGACTATATAGTGGACAAATATGACTAGTGGATGAATTATAAAAAAACTGCTGTAGACTGTAATCTAGACTTACATATTGAATATGACTAAGCCAGGGACTAACAGACACTAAGAAATACATTAAAAGACATCAGAAGAACAAATTTTTTTGACGCATCGCACACTTGTTTAATTGATTTACTCATGTCGTTCATTTTAAAGCTGTAGGAAGAATATTTTCTCAAACACACGAACAAGCCATGGATATCAAAAGAATTTGGTGGATAATTGAGCACAGAGCCAACCCTTCAACAATTAAAAAATGTGAAGACATTGTTTTGTTTTTTTTTGTTTTTTTTTCGACACGGGGCCCCCCTGTACTCCCCACCCCAAGGCCCAGCCCTTCCATCACTATAGTTTCAGTATAATGAAATATTTTAATTTACTGTTATAGCGCCGATATAAGGATTTATCTCTAATTGGATAAATGTTACCGCAATGCAATTTCTATTGGTTCAAAATAGACACCAAACACATGGCTGAACCCTGATTGGATCAGATGCTAATGGACTCGGCATACTAGAGTGCCATGTAAAGATTAGAATATCCGGTTTATAAAGGTACTCTTAAAAGCTTAGTCTGATCAATTATAAATGAGATATCAGTGTTTATAATTTTGAAAATTAATTATTTTTCAATCGTGGTTTTTCTGCAAAAGTGACTTGCGCATTTCTTCTGCAGAAAAAACCAGGGAGAAGAAACAGAATCAAAAAACTTTTTATGCTAAAATAACGACGTTATCTCTCACATTATTTATCAGCTAAAGGTTTCAAGGGTACTGATTGTCCCTCTAAAAATTTAAGGTTACTTGAAATTATACAATTATACAAATATTATAGATTCTTTGCATTTGCAGCTAAACAGTCATTCAAGTTTCAAACCAAGAATGGGAGATCTACTTAAAAAGGTGAATCCCATTCATAAATATGTAAATACTTTAGCTTAGATTGTTTTTTTTTATTTTGGTTTAAGTTTTAAAGAGAACTGAAAAATGTAATCCAAATAAATTTAAAGAATACAAATTAAAATTTTATATTTTTCGCTAAAGTACATCTATATATAAATTTGGCTTGTCTGTCTGTTTGTTTTTATCCAATAAACACCAAAACGGCTAAACCGATCGGGCTCAAATTTTTTGTGTGACCTCACATGACACCAGGAAAGGTTTATGAATGATTAAAAGTTTAAAAATTTGTGTTTAAAGTTTTTTTTTGTAAAATTTTGAAAATGCGCGAAAAAATGTTTTGAAACCCGCGAACTTTTGTTTATTTTTTTATACTGTATAGAGAAGATGCTCGCAGATGAAGCCACAATTAAAAGTTGAATTAGAATATGGGCACGAAGCGCTCTAAAAGCCTAGTAAACTAATATTCCAATAAGTTATTAGGGAAACATTAATCAATTCTTAGAAGTTATAATTACTGCAAACTACCTAGAAGGAGTAGATCAATTTCATGCAATATTACTGCTACGACTTTGTGACCTCGTAGCTCATCTAATTTTGATATGAGACTACCAAAATTGGGCTACATATCAAAACTCGAAGCATCTGTGTTCTTTTCAAAGCTCTTTAAAGGGACAGACCAGCTACAGGGTGTCCCAAAAAACATGGGAATTCAGTGACGAATTGTATATCGTCTTTGCTATTAACAAGCATTGTAATACCTTATTTCAAAAGCCATAATATTATTATGTCTGCTAGAGTTTATTTTATGAAAAGGGTAAAAGACTGTAAAGATGTGTCTATAATGTCTCCGAAAGATGAACAATCAAGATGGACAAGTTTACTCTGTTTGTATACTGCAATTTTCTGGTTTTACTAAGTACAACTGTATGCAGGCAAAACATAAACAAACAAAATGTGAACATAGCAGACGACACTCTTACAGATTTCAGCTTTCACATTAGGTATCACTATACTAAATCAAAAAATTATTTTAAAAGACGATATCGAATTCGTCACTGAATTCCCATGTTTTTTGGGACACCCTGTATGTAAGGTAGTTAAACTAAGTATGCAGTGTTGTGGACATATCCTTTAGGATTCATTTGAGACATAAAACGTTTCCACGATATATAATTTCTGAGTTTGAGTGCATAGTCGACGTTCAAAATCATGAATTTGGGTGGGTACGTTTCCAGAATCGGTTTTTTTAAAATTAAATAACGACAAGGAAAATTATAGTAAAAATTTTATTGTCAACTAGTTAGATGTTTAGGAACATATTTCTCAAAAGATATTTGTCAATAAATCGAAGTTAGAATTAATTATTTCCTTTTTCATCATTATATTGAATTTCTTAATTTCCCATGAAATTGTTCGCAGATTTCTTCAAAATCTTTAAATGTCGTCTTTTCAATGAAAATTCCAGAAAACTCTGCAGAAATCTTTGTGATTAAAGAGAGATTATAGAAACTAATAATTAAATAAGATTACTTATTTTCGATGATAAGAGTTAATTCTAGTTTCTCAACCTGTTCCTAAACAACTAATTAGTTTACTGTAGAATTTGGTTTACATTTTTTTTCGTCGTTATTTAATGATTTATAATAAAAAGCAATTCGGAAAACATATCCACTCAAAAGTACGATTTTGAACGTCGACTTTGCGCTCAGGATTTACAGATCTTTTAAACGTTTTATATGTATCAAATGAATCCTAAAGAATTTGTCCACAATACTGCATACTCAGTTTATCTACCTCACATAGCCGGTCTGTCCCTTTAATAAGAGGAGTTAAGATTAAAAACATAAATTTCTATCCTTCTTATAATTTACCTTAGTTTGACGTGTAAGAGCATTCGATATAAAGCTTGAACCATAAATCATGGAAAATAATAGAAATAAAAACAAAACTATAAAATATAAAATTTTCAAACCCAACACTTCGATATTTACAAATTTAGCTTCTCTGTTTGTTTGTATCCAATAAACGTCAAAACGGCTGAACCGACCGGGTCCAAATTTTTCGTGGGATCTCGCGTGACCCCTGGGAAAGTTTATGAATGATAAGATTTTTGAAAATTTGTTTTTAAGAGTTTTTATTTTTGTAAAAAATTTCAAAATCTTGAAAATCCGCAATTTTTTTTTTATAAAATTCGCGATTTGTTTTCCCTTTTATTTTTCAATGTTACAATGAGAACGTGTTTACAATTGAAATAGAAGATGAGCACGAAGAGCCCTAAAAGCCTTGTTAATTTAAAAATACGAAGAAAGAAAAAGAAAAATACTTGACGAAGAAAAATGAACAGTTTCGATCTTCTTAATAATCTTAATACTATTATTATTAATATTAATCTTAAAACGGAAAATGGAGAACTTCATAATATTGCAGCCAATTATCTGAAAGGATGTAAGCAGTCGTTGTCCATTTTCTAAAATTTTAAATAAAAACTTTTTATGTATACTTTGCCTGTTTGTCTGTTTGTATCCAATGAAAGTTAAAACGGCAAAAACCGACCAGGCCTTGTGTGGGACCTGTGTGGGAGATGACCCCAAGGAAGTTTTATCTAACATCAAATTGGGAAAAAAAACCCTGGAAATTGTTGGAAT